ACAGGATTCTGGAAACAAGGATTACAAAAACAAGGCAGGGTAGGAATTAGGCAACTTAACACCTACAGGACACAGCCTTTAAAGTTGGAGCTGATACTTTAACTGTAGTATCTCACTGACAATTTTCTTTTCCAGTGATAACTGAAGGTCATTAGTCTGCACTTCTTTTATATCCATTAGTTTCCTTCCACTCAGCTAACTATAAGATTTTTTTGTCTGCTTGTAGACCACAACACAGAAAATCATCATTTTTTTTCCTCATGGAATCTATCAGCTAACTTTTTTCATTTAAAAGTAATGTTTTCTGTTGTTTATGTATTAAGAACTCTTGGCGCTGATTTTAGTTGGTACCATACTTCAGAAAGAAATTGTAAAAAGTAAAATAACTTAACTGTAAACATCAGAAAGAAATTGTAAAAAGTAAAATAACTTAACTGTAAACATCCACAGTGCCATGGATCTTGAATATTACAAGAGGTTTTGGTGAGCTTCATTTCAAAAGGATTATAGGGAAACGGCAAAAAGGTACAAAGCAGAGTTCAAGGGATGACTACATCCATGATACTGTCCTTTATAGCGTTCCTGTCACGGCCATGGTCCTTTGCACTCAGCCAAAGCACTGAGTACCTGAAGGTGCACTGTAGCCACATCTTCTACTTTGTTACAGTTATTCTGTTAGATTTAGTGAGTAAAAAGTAGCATTACTCTGAGTATTACATATGGGTCTTTAGCTGTTGTTGGATTACAGGAACAAACTGATTCACTAGTACAAAAATCCTGATTTAATAGGAAAGTGCACCAGTTTGCTGGTTCACAATCTGTTCCATCCATACTTAATAGGCAAAGTCAGCCACCAAAGTTATTTAAATAGAGGGGAAAGTATTTTATATTTGCTGTCATCATAGACTGATCTGCTTTACTTCACTACTGTTTTAAGATTTCAACAGAAAAGCGAATACTGCCGTGGGAGGTGCTGGAAGCCGGTTTGTACACTTTGTATGAATAGTTCAAGAAGAGATATACACATAATCAGAAAATTTGTCTGGTTGAAATGGGTAATATAAACATAAATCCACCACAATGGCTATATGAAGTACCTCCAGTGTTTATAATGAAAACGTGACATATACTGATCAAGTAATCATCACAATTTACCTGAGAAATTGTATGAGAGACAGAATGCTATTGTGCCTTTCTACTGTTATTAGTATACTGTTTACCAAGGAGACCTGCAAACATTAACTTACTTAGAGTGAGCATTTGTAAAAATAGAAGGAAAAAAATAGCTGCTTACAGTTCTCCAAGGAGAAATAACATCCTCTTAGTTATAAACCTTTCACAGATCATTCAGCAAAATCTCTATAGCTGAAAAAACAAGTTTGATGACAGTGGCATACCCATAAATTATGCTGCCAAAAAGATAGTTATGGACATAGTTTTTTGAAAACATTTAAGTTTTATAAACATATAAGCTTTGGAAAAAGCAGATCTGGAATAAGGAGGCTTAAAATGGAAAACTTTTTTTCATACATTATAAGGCTAAAAGGATTCACTGTGTTCATTTGTACTGATTTCCTTACAATAAATCTCACAGGACTGCTCTATGGGGCACTGCTCAAGAGAAATCAATTCCCCTTTGAAGCAGAACATATCTTTTAGAAAGCTATCCAGGTCTGACTTAAATCTGTATCCTCATAGAATTGATTAATCTAACATACACAGCATTTCGACTTTGAATTTGAGTTGCTGTAGCTTTCAGTAATGAATTGTATTATTCCTTTATATGCTGTATTGAAAACCAGTAAGAAAGGGCTTTTTCTCAAACATAGTTACTTTCAGGTTTCTTGAAACAGTATTTATACTTATATTTGGTAAATCAAGTTTGTGAGTGACTACTAGTGGGTTTGAAAAACAAAGATGGAACAGAGGGAAAAGCAGAGAAAGAGAGAAATGACCGTCCATCCACCAGCCTGGAACATTTCATTACCATAGGAGAATTGTTTTAACCAGCAAAAAATAAATGCCATGCCTCAAACCCCATAACCCTTTATAGATTCATGACAGAGATTCGTGGCCAAATTTTTAGCTGTTGGGAACTGAGAAATATTTGTCTAAAGATAGAGACTTAGACCTAATTTATCCTAGTTTCATTTTTCCCTTCATTATTGAACAGGGAGCAGGAAGTGATAATAAACAACTGGGCACACTCCCACATTTGGAAACCCAATGTTTGTTTCTATACTGTTACACGTGCAACTTAGAAAACACAAGTGGAAAACCATAATACTGTGACTTAAAACTTACTTTGAGGTCCTTGTTACCAATTGCTTCTCAAATGAAGAATGAGAGAGTCTGCAAAGTCCTTCCTAACAATCTCTGATGACTTTCACTTTCCTTTCAACTCTGTTTCCAGTCTTTTTATCTCTTCTAGTCCCCATAACGTTTCTTTCTCTTGTGATATGCAAATATAGCTCACGCTATCCTGGCAAGCCATTTGCTCACACATCAATAGCAAGAACTGTAATGAACTTTTTCTCTGCCTATTGCATCTCTTATGCTTATGGAGTCGTGGAACAGAATGTGTTGGAGATGGCAACAGACACATTCCTAGGAAATACGAATGAAACAAATTACCCGCCGGATAAAAGAACAAACCAGCAATTTTTTTAACCAAGAAAACAGCCTCTCCCCATGTAGAAAGAGATTCCACAACATCCTCTTAAGTTTTGGCATCAGAAGAAAAAAAGCTATCAGAAACATCAAATAGGTTTACAGTTTGTAGGAATCTACTCAGCATTAACTGAAATTCAGAAAGTCCTAACCCAATACAAAAGGTGCAGTGTATGATGTCTGGAATTATTTGAGAATAGCCTTCCATTTGCCTGTTTCAAGGTTCATAATACAAAGAGTATATAAGAGGACAGAAATTTTCAGAATATAATCTTTAGAACACTTATGCTCTATGGACCACTTGCTGCATGCCTGTTGAGAGCTAGATGGTCAACCAGTACTATCAATTGTTACAGTTTCCATTTGATAGTTTGTTTTAAAAGACAATAAAAGATATTAATGTAGTGTGCTAATATGACTTCTGAAAACTGAAATTGATGAAAGTGAGGTAATGTGCAAACATTAAAAAAAACTAATAGGAAAGTATTTCACCACTAATTATGAATAGCAAAGAAAGACAACAAAGAGAAATATGCAGAAAAATTATTCCATATAACAACCTCTTTATTATGAGGCAATGCATATTAGGAAGTCTTTTGAAACTGAGAACTGGCTTTTAAAATTGTAGGAACACAAGAAATTGAACAGTTAAAATGTAAAACAAAGAAATAAATGATAGCTCAGAAGTACTTATTTTATCTGATTTTGTATCAGCAGCATGAGACTGTGATGCCTCAACTATACTTGCTGAAAAATTTTGCTCTAACTGTTGCTACTGTTTGAGAAATCCACAGAGAATAACTTTTTGCACTTACCTTGTCACAGACTGAAAGCAGAATTACTTTTTGCTTTTCTGATGAATAAGAGCCAAAAGTGTCCCAGCTAAATAAAATCCTTGCAGCACTGCACAATCATGAATATTCATCTACCTGCTATTTCAAGTAAGCTCACAAAATGGTTAGCTAAAATGTAAAAACAAAATCACCTGCAGAGCAATCGTGGTATTCTTCGCAGGATATTTCCCCACCAGTCCTTGTTCTTTGCGTTTCTTGAATTTCCTAAAGTAGTCCTGTATCAGGAAGGTGGCATAGAACTTCCCCACGGTTACCTCATCATCTAAATGAACAGACCAGACAGATCTCTCCCAGGTCAGCGCATTTTTCAATAGCCTCTACACTCATATCTGATTCGGGGACAAAAAACGTGATGGGTGCACTAGGCACTATGCTTTCAGCTTACAATAATGGAACCTGCAACTAGCTTAAAGCAAGGCTTTAGCAAGCAGTTTAGGCTCAGTCAGATAAGTGAACTCATCCTTAATTAAGAAGAAAGCATAATAATTTTACCAAGTTTCAAGTACTTTTAAGTAAGTTCATGTAAGTTTCTAATGAAACTGGGAACATGTTTGTATATGCATAGAAGCTGCACTACTGGCTTTAGTTACCTGGAACAACTGGATTAAAATAACAGCTATCGTGCCTTATATATGCTTATGTTCATAGGAGTGACTCTGTAAAAACAGAAGTCCTGCTTGCAACATACTCTCACTCTTTTTTTCTTCCTGCTG